AGGGAGGGGGGGAGGGAGGGAGGGAGGGTGGGAGGGAGGGAGGGAGGAGTGAAAACCGCCCTTCCAAACTCTCCGAGCAAATGCTGGTTACCTTGGCCTGAGACCTCGGCCCTGCGGCTGTAAGGAAGTGAAGGCTGCTGTTCACCCTTTCAGTCCTTCCTCCATAGGAAGCCTGGGTGTGCTACTGGCGAGAATAATCCAACTCCTGCTGTCTGGGCCCTCCAAGGAGTCACAGACACCCTGCTGTGTAAAATTTCTCACAAGTCAGCCCTGAAGCCCAGTCGGTGGCAGCGAGTAAACGGGATTGCTGCCTGGCTTCATGGTGGAGAAAAGCCCTGAGCTGGGTTTTTAGCGTAGGCACAGGAGCCCATCTAACTGATGGAAGAGGTTGCAGCCTCTGCAAAGCCTTGGAAGCTGGAGAGCCTGACTTGTCTGGAGATTCTCCTGAAGCAGGGGTCCCCGCTGCTCAGCCACCACCCTCCGTGCATGGCTGAAGTAGGCTCCAGACTGAGCAGAGCTGGCCTCTGACAGAGGGAACTCAGGCAAGCACAGGCCTCGCTTAAGATGGTCCAGCATCCCTGTGGCAGAGCAGGACTGGCAGCTCCCAGTCAGGAGTGTGGGAGAAGGGGGAACAGGCACCTGTGGACCGGCAGCTAAGAATGCAGGCTCTGGAAGCCTGACACGGTCAGCCTGCTCCCCACATAGCTTTGAACCTAGACTTTTTTTTTTTTTTTAGTGTTTCTGAGTGTTTAGCTTTCATGTACATATATGTGTTATCTATGTGCCTGGTGCCCATACTGTTCAAAAGAGGGCACCAGATCCCCTGGAACTAGAATTATGAATGGCTGTGAGCCATCATGTGGGTGCTGGGAATTGAACCTGGGTCCTCTGCAAGAACAGCAAGTGCTCTCAACCACCGGGCTACTTTTCCAGCCTGGAACCTGGATCTTCACACACACAAACTCAGACCTCTCTGTTCATCTGTAAACAGGGGATCAGAGAACCCCTATGCCCAGCTTTTTGAGGATTAAGGAAAAAAAAAAACAACAGAGCCCACAAATTCCTCAACCCTGTGGCCTGTTTGTCTTGTGTGCTTTGCATTTCTCCCATAGAAAGCATGTAATTACCCAAGTGCAAGGTAAAAAGCATTGTTTTTGTAGACAGAGAAACCGTGGTCGGGGGAGCAGAGACCTGGAGTGGGCAGGGGTGTTACCAGGGCTTGCCCTTGTAGTTTCTTGAGTGTCTGCAGGCCAGAGGGCAGCCTCAACTGTCACACTTAGAAACTCGGTCTGCCTCCTGTAATATGGGGTTTCTCACTGGTCTGGAACTCACCGAGGAGCCTAGGCTAACTGACCAACGAAGCAGTGATACACAGGGGTCTGCATATTCCTGCCTCCCCTGAGCTGAGATTACAAGTGCCTGCTACCAAGCCCGGCTTTGAATATGGATTCTGGGAATCAAACTCAGGACCTTGTGGCAAGCACTGCACTAGGTGCTTTCACAGCCCCAAGGAGAAGCGGCTAGCCCGAGGCTGAGAGTCCAAACCTGGCAAGCTTAGGCAGGAACCCAGACCAGCCTGAGGTCCCCAAGAGACCCCGGAGGACTCATACTTAAGACTCAAACATCCACCTAGAGCTAGAGTGACTGGCTCAGGTAGTCAGGGGCCCTGCAGCTGCATTCTCTGCAAAGGACACCCAAGCACTCGGGAGGGCGGAGCCACCAACTGGCCGCTTGCATCTCCACCCAGCCAGCCTTTGGGGTCTCAACAGCATGAGTGAACCCCGTCACATCACCTTGAACCACATTTCGTTGTCAGTAGGGGCTCCTAATAAGTTGGTTCATTGTAAGAAGGGGGAAACTGAGGCTCAGGAATGGAGACCCTTGTGCCAAGGCCAAATGACAACACAGAGACATAATCGGGCAAGCCATCCGAATACCGCTTCAGGTCCAGAATTCATGTTAGGCATCTTCTCTGAGGCAGCACTGTGCCGGTCCATCCTCTGGAAAGATCACCACCACGGTGTGGATTGCCAGCCTCTTCCATCTCCTTAGCACACAGCTCGGCTCCCTACTGCACCTCCGCCCCAGGGTACTAAGCAGGGAGGAAGGAGAAGGTTCCGTAGCTTTGAAACACTTGCCTGGGGCTTTCTCATGAAGGAAGATGGTGTGAGACCAGCGAGCTGACTAGAACCAGATTCAGATGCCCAGGTTCTAGTGACCCCTGCGCTCAGTCCCAAATACATCTCAGCTTTTCATCACTCATTGGAGGGAGGCTGTCAATCTTAGGAATGTGCGCCTGAGTCGTTTCTTTGTTTTGTTTTTGTTCTTGTTTTTTCTTTTTCTTTCTTTCTTTTTTTTTTAAAGCCACCTGTCCAGAGCCCATCCATACAACGGTATTTGTGTTCGAGCACACACGTGCTCGCCCTCCCATCACGTCACACCCCTCGCTCTGCCAGGAGAAAGGACTTCTCGGTTCCAGTGAAATCACGGCTTCCCAGTCCCCCACCCCAGGGAGTCAGGCTGAGCATCAGTCCTTGTCGAATTCTAAAGGTAGCTTAGCAACAGAGCCCGACAGTGAACCCCGTGTGCCCAGCGGTAGCCTGCTTCACAACCACCTCCTCCATCACTCACCGCCAGGCTCCTGTCGGCACCCACAGGAACCACCAGGCCCTGCAGAGGCCCAGGCAACAGCTCCCTGCACAGTTCTGCCCGGTCGGCACTCCCAGAGTCCTCCTCTCACCTTCTCAAACACCACCACCACTTTCTCCTCCACCGACACAACCACCACCACCATCACCATCACCATCACCACCACGACCCCCCACCCCCTTACCCCCGCCAAAGCAACCTCCCAGAATTTCCATAAAATCTGGGTACTTTCACTAATCCCCGTTCTGAACTGTAATTTCCCCCGAGGCCCCTGTCAGCCGGGTGTGGATTTTGTAGGATTTTACTTTTTTTTTTAAGATTAAAATTATGGGGTCAGCACTTATGACCAACTCCTGTGGGCGGTGAGATCTATTTTAGATATACGGCGGGATTAGAGCTGGGAGGAGAGTGGATTTAATTAAGTTGCTAATATTTAAAGAAAATTGATGAACTCTTGGTTGTGCCCGTGAGAACAGACCCCTTGCATTGCAGAGGAGGGGGGGCAGGGGGCGGGGCGGGTGGGGAGGCTCTTCATTTGACTTGCTTTCTGTTTAAATCCTGGACTCGTTTTATTTGCGTAGCCTCGCTGTCCGTTTAATTGTCTTTAATAAGGAAACCCTACCTCTGCGAGCGTTTAATTTTGATTTAATTAGGAGGAAGTAATTAATGGCCCCCGTAAATCCCATTTGCCGCCCCCTGGGAAGAGGCACCGCAGTGCTCCTGGTTTTGGTGTTTATGATACAGGGCTAGAGTTGGGGATGAGGTGGGGTGGGGGCTCCTCCTTGGGGCCGCTCTGGGTGCTGTGGGGTCACACTGGGTTTGAAACTGCCTCTTGTGAGCTTCGGGTAGTGTGTATGCCTCCTCTGGGCCTCAGTTTGCCCATCTTCGTAACAGGAGAGAATAGAACATGCCGGGGAGTTCACAGGGGGAGGATGCAGCAGGCAGAGGTGGGTGGCGCTGAAGGCTCCAGGGTTGTGTGCTTAGGGCACCATGAGAGCCCTGTAACTACCCTCCATCGGCTAGCTTGTGTCCCCCTGAGACAGAGAGGGAAGAGAGCTGTTTTCTTCCCCGTGGAAGCAGGTGACTGTCCAACTCCAGGCTCAAATGGGGCACCTTGACAGGGACGTGTAAGAGAAGGCAAACGGGCCCAGAAATCTCAGAAGGTTGGCAGGAAATTCTAGTGACGGTATCTGTCCTGAGTCTCTGTTCTGGGTGGGGTGGGGGGTGCTGCTTCGGAGATGAGAATGAGCGGCCCTCCGCTGTGCCCTGAAGGAGAATTTGATCCCACCCTTGTATACATGCACGCATTGAAGAGTGAGTGCACACTCTCTCGCAAGCCTGCACACTCAGCTCTCCCACGCTCCCGCATTTTCTCTGCAGGCACCATCAGAGCCTTAGCGCATGGCCAGAGGAGCTCAGACCCAGCAAGTCAACCTCTCCATTGCCCCAGAGCTCACAGCACCCGGGACACCCACGCACAACACTGAAGGGCTCCTGGGAGTGTGGCACGGGGAGGCCTGTGCATGGAAAGGCATAGGGGCTCTTCCAGCAGGTGGACCACATTCGAGAGGGTTTCCTGGGGGAGGAATAAAGTGAGATTTGAACCAGGAAGGCCCTGGGAGATGGCCTTTAGGCCTCCAATGGGTAGAGAAGTCTGTGCTTGATCGTTGTGTGGGGAGGTGGGGAGGGTAAGTTATATAACACACACCCTATCTTTCCTGAGTCCAGAGGTACTAAAGAAATGCTGCTCCCCAGTAAGAACCTACTGTGTGCTATGAATCTGCAGGCTATGTTGTTAGCAAGGGCAGCCCCGTCTACAGATGAGAAAACCGAGGCTCTGAGAAGGACCGCCACTCACCAGGCCAGTCAGTAGCAGGCCAGGGACAAAAGTGTAGTCGGTGGGTGTGGCTGCTCCTGACCTCACACCCATCACCCTTCCTGGTGCGTGATGGTAGAGCTAAGACTCAGGGAGAAGCACAGGGAAGAGACTGGTGACTGGGAGCCCCCAGGGGGGTTCTCCATCCTCTAATGGGGAGGGGTGGCGTCCAGGGGACCCAGGCCCACCTTGGTCCCTTCACCTCAGAGTGTAGAAACATCTGTACACTGTGTGTCAAGAGCCTACAGCGGGAGTAAACAGTAGGTGCCCAGTAAATGAGAGCACCATCCTCCAGCTGTCCTGCAGGCAGCTGCCTTCTAGGGCTGAATGGGGATGTAGCCCAGCCCAGACCCACAGCTCTGAGCTCTTAGCTCCTCCCTCTCTGGGCTGATTGGCAGTCTGACCTTGTAGTCCCTGGAGAACAGCTACTGGGCCCCAGTGTGAGCTATGTCACACACACTTCACAGAACATCAGTGACATCAATGCTGGGTTCCACTTCCTGCTCCCCAGCCCTCACTGAAAGTGGGAAGGAGGTCTGTGGGAATATATCAGGGTGCTGGGCTGTTATACCAACACTGGGTTGGGGAGTAGAGGGAGCAGGAAGATCACGAATTCAAGGTCATCCTCAGGTACCTAGTGAGTTTGAGGCTACCCTGAGCTACCTGAGACCATGTCTCAAGAGAGAGAGAAAGGGAAAGAAATGAGGAAAAAGACACAGAATGTCAAGAGATGTGAGACTTTATATATCATGAGATCCAGAGTACAGAGAGGGAAGGAGGCCACCGTGGCCAAGGTGCTTGGGTCATTGCCAACATGTGTTCATTTAATCTTTACTATGCTGGGTAGAGAAGGCTTGAATGCCTCAGGTGGGGAAACAGGACTCAGAAGGGCAAAATGAAGCCACTCACAGCTACAACACCTCCAAGCTTAGCTTCCGCCCTGGTCCTCATGACAGTGATCACTCCTGTCTCTGTGCATAGTCTCCTCATCTGAGGCATGCAATGATCATTTTTACAGGGCAGTGATGGACACCATTGAAGATGACAACTGCCCAGATCCTCCCACAATCCAGTCGCTTCTACCACAATACTCTCAAGCGTTTGCTGATCAAATAAGCAGATGATCAAACTGGGCAGTGGGCAGAGGCGCCCTAAGAGAGGCCAGGTTCTGCCTTTCCCACTGTGCCTCCCCAAGGAAAAGTGATAGAAGAGTATAAACAAACAGGTCCCCTCATCCCAGGCACTGCCAATGATTCAAGGCCGACGTCTGAGATAATTTTATTGGGGGCATTAAACTGAGTTATGAGGTTTTTACAATCCAGCCACTTATGAGAAATCTATTAACAGTAACTGGACAGGAAGAAGGAGCCCAGGACGGGCATTAATTGGGGCAATCTATAACAGGACGGGGACCCGGAAAGGTTCCACCAGACGCCTCCATTTACTCCCGGCAATTTCTGCTGAGAATCAGCAGAGTCGCCAAAAAGGGAGAGATGCCCATTAATCGGCTAATGAAATATGAAAATGTTTATGGGCCATTCAATCTTCCAAATGGCACTTCTATGATCCACCTTTCAGACAAAAAGTTCTACCACAGAATTTACACCCCTGTCCCTCCTGCGTGGCTGGGTGGGCTCTCCTCTTGATGAGTTTTCTGGCACCTGTTCTGAGGATGAGGGGGCTGGAGTCTGCCTCGAAAAGTGCCTGGGGGACTGTCTCCCTCATGCCCCATCTCCAAGGAAGCTTAGAGAGGAGCTGCTTAGAGTCGCCAGCTTCCTCCAGATGGGTTTTCTTCTGCTCAAGGCTGGCTGGAGATTTGGGCTTTGGAGGGTGACGTCTTAGGTGTTTTTGTTTGCAAGAGAACAGATTCTTGCTGGTTCCTACCCCAAGAGATGGCAGTGCAGTGGAAACAGCCCGGGGTCTGGCGCCTAGTGCTACCAGGAGGAAATCCCAGTTATAAATAGTGAATGCTTACTGTAAGCATGGCTTCTGTGTGTCAGATACTTATGTGTCTCGGGCAGGGCTAAGTGTTAGCTTCTGCCAACAGGTATATTCATAGTTACTGCTGAAAAAGCCAAAAGCCTCCATCCCTTCCCTACATAGACTCCCTCTTCATCAGCTCTTGGTCACAGTCAGGCGTGGCTCAGTGGGGCCCGGTTCCAGCCCCAGACCTCAGGCAGCACCCTGCCCCTTGTGTTGCCAGTGCTGGAAAGCTGGCAAGGGCCTTAGGGGACTGTCAACCCAGCTCCTCCGGGAGGATGTGCTGTGTTACAGAAGCAGTGGCAGGCTCAGAGAGGCAAGAGGCACAGTGACTTATGTAAGCCACAAGAGGGATGAGCTGGAGTCAATGCCAGGGCCCTTCCTCCGGGCCCTCTGCAGAGGCTTTAGAATGGAATAGGGGAGCACAGGGAGGGAGCACAGGGCAGGAAGCCAGGCAGCTCTCCAGCGGTCTGGCCTCCCTAGGAAAATGAAAAAGAAAAATCTGCAAAGTTTGCCTGAACATGGTTTCGTTTTAAAGAGTCCTAATCTAGATAAATGCGCTCCTTGCCCTGTGCAATGCCTCATGGGCTGCACGTGCCATCCACATCCCTCTCCTCCCTCCCTCTCACTCCTGCGCCCTACGAAGTAGGAAGCCATGGGCCCACCTTCCGGAACAAAGCCAGAGGGAGACTGTAGTGCAGAGCAGCTCAGGGCTGTGAACTGGGAAGCCTCACCCCAGAACGGGTGAGCCAGGGCCACAGTTACAAAAATGCCCCACGTCATTTACATGCACGTGGAGGTTTGAGACTCGCAAGAATGGTGGCCGTGCAAGCCGGAACACCATGATGATGGTTTGATGTCCTCAGAGATCTTGGACGGGAATGGAGGGGGATCTGGAAAAGCTTTCCAGATGTGGTGGCAAGTGGGGGGGGGGGAGCCACGTACCTTGGATGGCTTTGCAGTAGGCAGAGGAATGAGGGTGGCTGTTCAAAATAGGAGTTCCAGCACCAGAGCAAATAGCTCAGTGGGTGAAGTGCTTGTCTCGAAGGCACGAGGACATGAGTTCGATTCCTCAGGACCCGTATTTTAAAAAAAGCTAAAATAAACATGGTGACAGGCTCTTACAAGCCAAGGCTTGGGGCCTCAGAGCAACAAGATCCCTGGGCTCCTTGGTCAGCCTTCCTCAGACCAGTGAGAACCCTTTCCTCAAAAACCAAACCAAACCACGGTGGATGACACGGAAGGATGTCCTCGGACACGCTGCCCCCCACCCCGTGTGCACACATGCCCGTGTGCACATACTTGACTATACTGTATGAGCCGCAGGGCTACGCACGCAAGCTGCGGTCCCGGACTCTGTTTCAAGGGCATCAGGGACCATGGGAGTTTTCCAAGCAGGGGTGCGTTGGGGGTGGGGTGTGGTTATCATCTAAAGCTGATGGCTTTGGAGCCCTAGGGAAGGTGGATTGTGGGGTGTAGCCAGAGTAGGGTGAATCTCAGGTGAAGGCTCCGAGAAGGCTGTGAAGCTCAGATTGGCACAGCTTCTGGGCCTCTCTGTGTTCATTTGAAGGAATGCGCTTAGGAACAGCCCCCCCACCCCCACCTCCCATAGGACTTCGTGGGGAGGGGGTATCCCAGAAGAGCCTCCACCTTCCCCAGTGTCCACGTGCCTTCTTCCCATCTCCTTAGATCCACTCAGATTCTGACGAAGGCGACGGGACCATCAAGTATACCATCTCTGGCGAGGGTGCAGGGACCATCTTCCTGATCGACGAGTTGACAGGCGACATCCACGCCACAGAGCGCCTGGACCGGGAGCAGAAAACCTTCTACACACTCCGGGCCCAAGCTAGGGATCGCGCCACCAACCGCCTGCTGGAGCCCGAGTCAGAGTTCATCATCAAAGTGCAGGATATTAACGACAGTGAGCCGCGCTTCCTACATGGTCCCTACATCGGCAGTGTGGCAGAGCTGTCGCCTACAGGTGGGCTGGGGGGAATGTGGGGGGAATGGGAGAGGCCTAGGGTGGGGATGCCCCAAGGGAGACGGGTGTGGGCAGGTTGATTCCTGCTGCAAGAGGCAGGAGAGACTGAGTGGCCACCCCTGGGGGCACAGAGGACAGACAGGAGAAGGGCACATGCCCAGCTACGTGGCTGGGCAAAGACATGACCTAAGCTACATTCATGCACCATCACCCATGTGGACGTATGTGAGCCTGTCTGAGGACTCAGTGGAAACCGAATGCTCAGGCAGCGCTGTACACCCAAGCCTAGGTGTGCGTGCAAGCTCAGCTGGACGCATGCGCGCTGTCTGTTCAGAGACGCAGCCCTGTTTAACATGGTCACACAGCTCTTCTTTAAAGTTCAGCCGCACACAGCAGACTGCACAGCCGCTGGCTCATCTCCAGGCTAAAATGGCGACAACCAGGCCAGCACAGACGCGGACACCATCATGCACATGCGCATAGCCACCCCACCCCAGGCTCTCACACATGCGCAGAGTCACCCACCCTAGGCGCAGGAAATGACCCGCAAACAAAGCAAGCTACTGGACAGTCTCTGAGGTGAGCTCAGGGGAAGCCTCAGCAGGTGTTATCTTGCTGGGGTGCTGTTCTGTCTGGGTGCAGCTAGGGACCCTCATGTGGACAGCTTCATTCCCTTGACGGGGGGTGCCCCAGCTTAAAGGCCCTGCTGGCCCGGGACTCCAGCCCACAGTAACACTATGAGGCACTGACAGAATCTTTGTCGCTCTTTGCTGGATATGGCTGCAAGCACCCAGGGGCACAGCACACACTCACCTGCGAAAGTAACAAAAGAAAACACACGACAGCCTTCAGTTGGGAGACAGTCTTGTTTAGAACACATCTGACTAAACCGTGTACCCAAGAATAGCCTCTGCCCCACCCACCCTCCATGCGATCCAGACAGACGTCTAGACGGCCGTCAAGGTTCCATTTTGCCCAGGCTCCCGAGCCTCTAGTGGACACTGACTGAGTCATGGGTTGTGGGTCTTAGGCTCCACCCCTTCCTCATCATGTTATCCAAAGAGGTCTGCAAACCGGGTAGGGAAAGAACAGAATCCTAGGTCCTAGACTGTCCTCTCTGGAAGATGCAAGCTGGCTTGGCCTTTCTCTGGATCTCTAGCCCCGTGGCTGCATATCAGGAGCCAGGACACTTAGATGTTGGGGGAGGGCAAAGTCAGCTGCTGTGCGTCCAGGTTGGACCAAATCTGGCTCAATAATCAGATCACTGGTAGTTGAAGGGGAATGTGGACTGGACAAAATGGAGGGGAGTGGGGTGCAGCAAGAAATAGTGGGAAAATAGAGCAGTGGGGTGTGCCCTGTGTACGTGTATGTGTTTGATATGGACTTGCTGAGCAGCGCCTCAAAACCTGTTTGTTCCTATGACTGGCCAGGTGTTTGTTGACATATGGTATTCAATTTGAAGTAAATTTGTTGAGTGCCTACTATATGCTAGGCATGGGAGGATTAGCTCTGTATAGACAAACAAGAGTCACAAATAGCACATTCTGGCGAGAGAGGACAGACACCAAAAAACAGGAAAATGACTGGCACAGGAAGGCCTCTCAGAGGTGACGCTGCGGCAGTGTAGTGAAAAGATGGGCCCTGTGGGGGAAGGGCACGGAGAACAGAACGTGCAAAGGCCGTGGGGTTAAGTTCCCTGAGTGTCGTGCAGCCATCTAGACAATAGCTGGGGCTTTATTCTGCACGTGCTAGGCAGGCTGCGGTTGGTCCCCTTCAAAAGACTGACGGGGTCTGACTTAGTTTTGACAGGATCTCATGACTGTCCCATGGAAAAGTGACAGGTATGGGCAAGGCAAAGGCTGGCACTGGTTGACGACGGAGGGGGTACTGCAGTTGGCCAGATGAGAAATGGCGGTGGCGCCGCTCAAGGTGGCACGGGAAGGGGCACGGGAATGAGGTCGCCCGATGGATGTATTTGAAAGCTAGGGTGAAGGCATTCGCTAATGGATCGGCTGTAGGAGGGGAGAGAGAAAGAGAGTGACAGAGAGGGAAAGAGGGAGAGAGAGAACTCAAGGCTTACGTTTGGGATTCTGGCCTGAGTGAGCTTGATGGAATTTCCATTTCCTGTGCTGGAGGAATAGCTCTGGGAGACGGAAAGGAAGTGGGAGTTTGGCTTCTGATGTGCTAAGATGGAAGAACTCATTCGGAAGCAGAGCAAAAGCCTTTAAACTGTCAGTTGAATAAACCAGTTCATTGCGGAGCTCTGGGCTGGGGAGAACCCCAGGAGGCCATCAGTGGCAAAAAGACCCAGCACGTTCTGGAGTTGCCAGGAACTTAGACATGAATTGTGTAAATGGAGAGACTGGGGCCCAGGAGGCCGTGGTGTGTCCAAGGTCACAAGCAAGCCAGAGGCAGCTCAAATCCCTGACTTCCCAAGCCCAGCAGCCCTCATGTAATCTCCGGCCCAAGAAAACATGGTCTTGTCTAGTTCTCCCCGAAACTGACATGTGGGGTTTTTAAAATTGAAAACATGCACAGACACATATACATGTATTATACATACATGTATGTTTGTATATATGTATATATTATACATACATGTATATTTGTATGTGTGTACGTATGACACGTGCAGGTGCATGCAAGCCACAGGTATGTGAAGGTCATTGGCAGCTTTTGGGAGTTGGTTCTTTTCTTCCACTGTGGCTTCTGAGATTGAGCTCGGGTGGTCAGCCCTGCATGACAAGCGCCTTTATCACCTGAGCCACCTCACCAGCCCATCCTTCCACCTTGCTTTGAGGCAGAGTCTCTCTTGGTTCTGCTGCTGTGTCCCTTACTCCAAGCCGGCTGGCCTCTGGGCTTTCAGTCTATTCTCCTGTCTCTGTGTCCCATCTTGCTGTAGAAAGTGCTTGGATTACAGATGTGTGCTACCACACCCTGTTTTTTTATTGGTTGATGGCTCAGATTCAGGTCATCAAGGCTTGCCTGGCCGGTGCTTTTACCTACTCAGCCATCTCTCTGACTTCCATACTCTCACAGAAAGTTACCAGAAAGCTGGAGAGAGTAGATGCTAGGAAAGGAAACAGGGGTATATCTACGTGACTTTCAAGAAAGCCTCAGGAAAGTTCTGTCTACCATACTGTAGAGAAAGGCTGGCAAGAGGCAGGCTGCATTCACCAAGGTGGCTCTGCCACCTTCACCTCACTCTCACCTGACTAGCAAGCTGGAACTGCTGTCAGCACCCCCACTGAATAGATAGGAGCCCCAGGAAGCAAAGGGAAGAGCAAGCGCATCGTGGTCCTGAAGCCACCGAGTGTTAGAACTGACCCCTGCCTTTGGCTTCCAGGCTGCTGGAGAGGCAAGGGTTCTTGTTTCAGAGATGGGGAAACCGAACTCAAGAGATGGGCAAGAGTGCATCCCAGGTCCCTCAGAGTGTGGGAGGCCCTGGCCTGAGTCCCAGCCTGAACTCAGATAGCACTCAGAAGAGAGGAAGGCAGGGTGACTCACTTTGGACAAGCTGGGGAACCAAAGAGGGGGCGGGAAAAGGCAGAAATTAAATTAGTTGATTTTATTTGAGTAACTTTTTGAAGAAGTGGATCCGGCACTGGGTGTACACGGAGACTCCGGGAGGCTTTGAAAATCAGTCACAATTAACTGAGCCTCCTGGTCCCGGCTGAGCAGGGAGGGGCCAACAAGCGGCCTAGGATCGGGCAGCTTCTGAGATCAGAGAGAGCAGGGACGCAGCTTGCGACTTGAAAGGCAGCTGTGCTCGCAAATTAAACCACTCAGAGCTTAAAAGAGAAGGGAAGTGCGCCCGGGGCCAATGAACCACACTTCTTGGTGGGGGGGGTGGATGCCAGCCCACGCTGGGGACGATGCAGAGAGGCAAGTCCTCAGCAGACAGTTGGCAGCCCCTGTGACCTTGAGCAAGCCCCTGTCCTCCCCCAGGGGTCAGAGTTACTTGCTGAGTGTTGGGGGCAGGGGTCTTTCGTGCCACAGGCACATGCCAGGCACTGTGTCCTGCACTGGGGATTGATTGCCAGGAGGCCACACAGAAGGGTAAGGGAGGGACAGGAATGGGACTGGCTAGGATTGGAAGGAAATTATCCCCCTTTTTGGATGTGTGTCAGGGTGGCTATGTATGTGGGTGCATGTTGCAGTATGTGAGTGTGGGCACCATACAGAGAACGAGAGCAGGTCAGAGGGCAGCCTCCGGTGTTGGTCCTTGCCATCCCCTTGGTTGTGTTTGCCCCTGTATGGCCATGCTAGCTGGTTTGTAAGCTGCTGGTGATTCTCCTGGCTCCATTCCCCATCTTGCTCTAGAGGCACAGGGCCGACAAGTGGGCACTAGCTCAGCCAGCTTTATACGGATCTGGGGATTAGAACTCGGGCCCACACATTTACACGGCAAACGCCTTATCCACGGAGCCCGAAATTCTCCTTTTATGAGACTGTTGAATCACACAGTGAAAGAAGGGAAGTTAAAGGAGGAGCAGCGCGGAAGCAAGGTTTTCCGACTCTGGTGCATACCCAAATTACCTGGAGAGCTAGTTAACACAGATTGCCGCAGCCATACCCCCGGGGCTCCTTCCTTTCTTCTTTCTTTGCAGTGCTGGGGATCAGACTCAGCTCACACGAGGTAGGTGAGAACTCCAAGCACGGGAGCTCCACCCCAGCCACACCCCAGGGTCTCCAATCCAGCAGGCACGGCTGTTAGAAATGATAACAGATTCCCAGGGGCTGCTGCTGGGTTGGGTACAGCGCTTGAACTGCCACCGCAGTTCAGAGAACATCTCGGGTACAGGCAGCTACGGGTGCAAAGACTGTGCTCATTGTATTTGAGGATTTCTGGGAGAAAAGCTGGGGAGGGTGACAGTGCGTGGTCAGAAAGCAGGTCTTAGGCTGACGCACTAGGACTTTGTGGCTGCTGGGAGGCGTTCAGTGGCAGCTGAGCGAGATGGGGACAAAGATGTGACGTGATCCGATGCATATTTCTAAAG